ATTGTTATTTCTTTACATTGCTTTCATGTAAGGACACAGTGAAGACTATTGCCTCTAATGAAATAGAATAACAGAGTTGGAAGGGATCTTGGAAGTCTTTTAGTCCAACCCTCTGCTCAGGCAGGAAACCTTATACCATTTCAGACAAATGGTGGTCCAATCTCTTCTTAAAAACTTCCAATGTTGGAGCATTCACAATTTCTGGAGGCAAGTTGTTCCTGTTTCTCCTTAGTTCTGGGTTGCTTCTCTCCTTGATTAGTTTCATCCATTGTTTCTTGTCCTGCCTTCAGGTGCTTTGGCGTATAGCTTGGCTCCCTCTTCTTTGTGGCAACCCCTGAGATAGAGGAACACTGCTATCATGTCATCCCTCGTCCTTCTCTTCATTAAACTAGACATACCCAATTCCAGCAACTGTTTTAGCCTTCAATCCCCTAATCATCTTTGTTGCTTTTCTCTGCACTAGCAATGCAGAATAGTGGCCTGATTTGAAGACAGGAAAATCTGTACTCTCCAAACATCCCAATAATTCCCCCAAAATCTAGTAATATCTAATAGTTAATGAGACTAACAGTTCTTATTCAGTCACTGATTTATGTCCTGCTCAGTTATTATTTAAACCAGACTAAATAAATCCCTGCCCAGTTCCACTGAGGTCATTCAAATGACATTGGCTTCCTATAGGCAGTTGGGTCTTTGTTGCAACTGTTTTCAGAAAGAAAGCTAGTCCTTTGTGGAACTAAACCTAGTTCTAAAAGAGTGCCAAATTGAAGCCCTGTAAAAGATGAAAGAAGCAGATTGAGAAGAAAAGCATGGAAAAAGCTATTACCATGCATATGAAGCTTAGGATATTATGCCATGTCCATGCTTGAGTTATATTTAGCATGGAATAAACAGACTATACCTGCATGGTGGGAAGACGTTTATACAAAAGCCATTAATTCACCGTTTAGAGTCCTCCTTTCATATTGAATTCCTGGATTTTTTTTTTCTGGAAGATAGTTTATTTCATCTATGTTTTATAATCATAGTTGAATGAAGATTTTCAAAAGGTCTAAGCACATGCAAGCCTTTGGAAAAGTATGAAATATATTTTCCAGATGTGGTGCAACTCTAATTGTTCTAGGCATTAAACAACTTCTGCAAAGACTGAATTGAAAGGGTTCCACTAGGCATGAGGCACATGTGGCCACAGAAATGTTGGTAGACTACAGTTCTCACCTACATAGAGAATCATAGTTTGCCTCTGTCATGCTGTGAGTACACAGCAAAGGCAGGATCTAACTCAACATCTTCCTAGGTTATTTTCTCACCCACAATATACATTAATTTAGCCCCAAACCAGCCTTTTCTCTGCATCCAGTATAAATTCTTAGTTGCTTTTATTGTCTTTATCATACCTATCATGGAGTCAAGCACTCGATAATAACTGTGTGCTTTTGTTTTATTTTTCGTTTATTTTTGGATGCTGGATGTGCTTAGGCCAACATTTGTAAAACATTAGTTGCATTAATCCTTATAAATAATTAGACCGGATTTTGATTCTGTTCTGTGCAGCCAGCTAGTTGTATCAGCTCTTGCCTTGACAGCTACTGCTTAACATTTAAGATCTGAAATGAATTCATGCTTCTTGAAGCTGTGCAATTAATGAGACTGCAGAAATAGAACAAAGACTGACAGTGTTTAGACAAGAAAGAGAAGACCCACAGGTCTGATTAATTGGAGTGTGCCAAGGAACTGAGTAATTGCTGTTTACAAACCATATTGTAGCACATGTTAAATCAGGCCAATTGTGTACGTGTGTATGTGTGTGTTATAAGCAGGTGCAGTTTAATTTTGCAGTTAAGCAATAGAATTATTAGCAAAATAAAAGATATGGTAAAGTGGAATATTAAATGTTGCCTTCCTTATTTCCAATTCATTAAAAAGATCAGGACTATTCAATACTAATACAGCCTCCACTGTACAGATTTATATTCACTGGGTTTCAAGAATTAACAGTAGCATAATTTGACATTTTATATATATGAAAAAAAATACAATTTCCACACAATATACTGATGTGTAAAAATGAGAAAATGTCATACAGTTGTTCTTAGAGAACTTGACATCTTCCTCTCATTAGCTTGGAGGCAGCCTTGAGAATGACAGATTAAGGAATGTAAAACAATAGAAAAGAGAAAAGAAAATCTTATTGTCATCCTTTGAATGACTGTGAATGAGTCTGGGTCAATGAGACAGGCCATCATTTATGAACCCATCTGCTTACAGACAATTCACTGCTTTAGCTGGAAATGCAAAAAAATGAAGTTCATGGCACCAAAGATATCTCCAGGCTTCTAATTTAATTCCACAGAGATGCCAAACTTGGTCTCATAATACTTTCAAATTGTTGGTCATTGGTATAAAACAATTATGCACCGTAATGTGAGAAGTAGCAAATGTGATCTACACATTTGTGAAATTCCAATGTATGGAAGAAACAGAACTTGTGGCTAGAATAATCCATCTGTACTGTGTATAACAGCACTACTGTCTAGGTGAAAATGATTTTTAGAAATACAGGTTTTTATATGTTTTGTTCATATCAGTTTTATGAAATTGGCCCCTTCTATTGGAAATTACGATTATAAAGAGATACTGTTCAGTTCTCCTAAATTTCAGACAATGATTTGGGAGGAAAAAAGTAATTATGCATTTGGTCTTAATTGGATAATTGAATGGTAAAATGGTGTTATTACTCTTAAAACCAGATTTTCAAATGTCCATCTTATTAAGTCAAGTAGTAAAATCAGAATATGAGTATGTTCTTATGCCATTATGTGGCATGTGCTAGTCAGAAAAATAACAAAATAACAGAGCTGGAAAGGAAGTTGAAGATCTTCTAGTCCACAAGTGTCAAACTCGATTGCATCACGTGACATATCACAACATTCTTTGCCTTTGTGGAGCCGGGGTGGGCATGGCCTGCACGTGACGCCTCTGGCCTGGGGGTCACCAGTTTGATGCCCCTGTTCTAGTCCAATGCCCTGCTCAAGCAGGAGACCCTACACCATTTCAATCAAATGGTTGTCCAATCTCTTCTTAAAGATTTCACATAAAAGCAATTTTATGGCAATTATAGCAGATGGTTAAACAAAACATAGAAACCAAAGGAATAAAAGTCGAAGAAAACTCCACCTCAATTTGGCACATAACAAGATTTTTCACTATGTATTCATATTCAATTGGGGGAAGGCAATAGTGTTTCTGTAACAATCAATATATAAGAGGTAGTCAGTTACCTAATGTAAACTCCTAGTGTAATGTGCTACTTTAAAGAAATGGTGGAAGGGATAAATTTACTATTCCTTTTACTTTTAATAACAGCATCTGAGATTAGTTTTGCAAACCCTGAGAAGCACCAAAACATCCTAACATATGGACTGAATAGAAAAATATGGACTGTAACATTTACTGTGAAGTTTACTGTGTTGTAAGCCTATAGAACTCAAACAAAAATGGATCTTATTCATAAACCTTTGGCATGTTATGTTTCAAGATAGAAACTTTTATCTGTTTCATCTTATGATTGCATTTTTTTACTTTCTGTCTCTATTTTCTTTTATAACAAATTGTGTTTTTTTGTATTATATAAAAAAAAATGAAAACAAATAATATGTACTGCCAGAGGAAAACCTATTAACATTCACAAGCATCCTTTATTCTTTGTTGTTGTATTAATGCAACAGAGTTTATAGGTACTTTTTAAAACATTCTTCACAAATGTATATGATATTAATAATGTCTTATTGCTTTCCATAACAGCTTGATATGAGACAAAAAGTGCCCCATTCTTTGTTTTCGCTATATAGCAAAATTCTAGAGATAAAAAGACAAGCTCTTACGAGCATAAATGGTGAAGTTAATATAAGGTGGAGGACCAATGAATCTTTGGTCTTCTAGCATATGCTGGATATAATTAGGGAATGACTCAACCCCCCCCCCCAAAAGAAAACAGAGCATCACTCTTATAAACATCCTAAACTTTCCCTATATTTGTCTAGTGTTTAATGTTATTAAATATTTATCTCAGTGTTTCTCAATCTTAGCAACTTTAAAATATGTGGACTTCAATCCCCAGGATTCCCCAGCCAGTGTGCTGGTCTATTGTATTTTAGCCAAATGGTCTAAATATGTAAAATAGGTACTGAACGTGGCATAATAGATGAATGAAAAAGAAAGGGAAAGTCTTTCATTTCATGGACTTCTTTGGCAACAATATGAAAATGGTTCATCATTGCCTTTTTCGGCTTCTTAATTTATTCATCCAAGGATTAAATAGGACTGTTAGCCCATGCAAGTTATTTAAGGTATTGTCACCAGTTGAGAACTTGAGTATGAATAGGAAATGAACAAACCTGACAAAGTTAATTTTGATATTCTGATTGACTGGTCAGCTGACTTATTTCAACCAGAATGATATGAGATTTAGTTTAAAATAAAACAATCCAGAAAGTCCAGATTTCATAGTAGGGCTAAAAGAAAATGACTTCCCAAAATTCTACCTAACAGTATTTAAGGATATTCCAGGGATGAGGTAGAATTCTTCAGTTTGAAGGCCCTATGTTAATGGACTTAAGATGGTATCTTATCCTCTCATTTTTGTCTAAAACATAATTTACACAAATAATTTACTTCAAATGGGTAGGTCAAAAGTAGGTACATTCAGCCTTGTATGAGTTACTTGATTTTTTTTCTTTTTTCTTTTTCTTCCCTGAAGTTCAGGTACCCAGATTCAAATTCTAAATAGGGAAGTGAAAAATACTGTATATCTCTAAAATTTAAATATAACTTATTTTTTAATACCAGAAGTGAATTTATATATAGTGGTTTCATACACTATGAGTTATAGTGTGTATGCAACCAGGAGAAATTCCTAAACATTGTGAAATCTGGTAGAGGGACTATTGAACAGTTGGTAGAATGAATCTATAAATATAGCAAAATATTTTTTTTCCTAGGTCTGGCAGTGTGGCGGTAGCGTTGAAGTGCTGCCTTGCTCTAGGATTGCCCATATTGAACGAGCCCATAAGCCATACACAGAAGATCTAACATCCCATGTCCGAAGAAATGCACTAAGAGTGGCTGAAGTTTGGATGGATGAATTCAAAAGCCATGTTTACATGGCATGGAATATTCCTCAGGAGGTAGGCTATAAATCAGTGGTTTTCAACCTGTGGGTCGGGACCCCATTTGGGGTCGAATGACCATTTCACGGGGGTCGCCAAACAACGCAGTCTGCCATTTTTTCCCCTTTTCCTTAGCTACTCCCTTTTATTCTATTGGCTTTTGAAAGTCAATAGAATAGACTCTCTTGAATAGAGTCTAATTCTATTGGCTTTCAAAAGCCAATAGGAATTGTCCAGGCTGTCTCTGCCCTGCTGAGCCCACCAAAAGTCCCATTCTGCAAATGGTGCTGCACCAGTTGAGTAGTCCTCGACTTACGACTGGTTGAGTTGTCCTCGACTTACGACCGGTTGGGGGTCGCGGCATTAAAAAGGTTGAGAACCACTGCTATAAATGGACATCAGGATGACCATATACTGTAGTCTTATGCTTCAAACCACTATCCATTTCAATTTCATAAAGTTTCTTTAAGACTCTTTCTTGTGAGACCAAATGATAGCAGATAGCCACTAATACAGGGGTTCCCAACCCCCAGTCCGTGGACCAGTACTTGACCGCAACATGCCAGCAACCGGTCCACACAAACAAGCAAAGCCCCATCCACAGGATGCAGGCAGCACATAAAACCATGCCCCCTCTGGTCCATCGAAAAACCTCTCTCAGCGGAACCAGTCCTTGGTGCCCAAAAGGTTAGGGACCTCTGCACTAATGCATATCACTGATCAGCCCTCTCAACAGAGGAGGAAGGATAAGACACCAATCTCCTGCCTACAACACAACCCTTGCAGTAGTTCCAAGAAGAGTCCACCACCATTTGACTCTGATACAGGTGGCCCCGAAGGGGCAGATAAACTCCCAAGTGGCCTCAGGAGCCCTAGAGAGAATACTAACAACCAGATGTCTGCAAAGATATATGAGCCTTCCACCCCACCCCTCCTGTCAGAACTAATCCTTCTAACACCCACACCATACTGCCAGAGCCGATGAAACTTCTTGAATGAGAAGTGAAACATCTTCTTCTTCCTCAGGAAAAAAAAACCAGTCCAGTTGCATTTTGCAAATGCAGCTTTGAAACAACTATGACCTGAATGACTGAGAATCTCCACAGACAGTTTCCTGTATATATATATAGCTAAAATGGGAAGCCTGCTGAGAGAAACATATAAGCCCAAGACAAGATGTCCCTTAGCCAAGTGCAAGATGATTATCAGTTAGAAACGGTCATTTTACAATTATAGTCTGACTGCAATTACATTTAATTCTTTCAGCAACTTTATAGTATAAGAACCAGATTAGGATAATTGCATAATGAAGATAAGATCATCTGGTTCAGCAATGAATGTTCATCACATGATTTATATCACCTGAAACTTTGCTCAGTTGTACTTCTAATTGATTTTGATAGGACTGCAGGGACAATGCTCAGAACACAATAAATATTAGCTGAACATTAAAAATCAATTCCACTCTATCAATTAATCAATACAAGTACATCAAGATCATAGAGAGAGAAATTGAGAGTATTGAAACAAAAGAACAGTCCCCGGACCTGAAGTCTAATATAGAACTGGTCTGTTTGGGGAACCTGCCCCCCTACTTCCATAATATATATAATTTTATTAGCTTGCATCATGTAGCATAAAATAATATTTTATTAAAATACAGGTAGTGTCAACGCTGCAACAATTCTGGCTGAAGCTATTCCTGCTTCGTTTTCGGTTGCCACAGTCCGGGGGGGGGATGAGTGGTTTTAAGGTTAGACTAAACAATAAATTGTCCCATGGGAACCAAGGTCATTGCTGCTTGGATTTGGCGGGCTGAGCCTTTCGTTAGAAAGCCCGCCAAAGTAGTTTATTGGGGAATGTGATTAATGACATTGTGCTGGGATGGGAAGTTCAATTTTGTAACCTTGTAATGTTTGGGGAGGGAACTCCAGTCTTGGTTTTACTTTTGACTGTGCCGATACTTTGTAGCCAATAAATATGTTCTTTAAGGAAAACCTCTTGCCTTGGAGTTCTGTTTTTACTGGTCTCATCTATTGGAACCATGACAGGTAATCCTTGGCACTGAAAAAAGTGATTTATGACCATTTTTCACACTTACATCCGTTGCACCATCCCCATGGCTATGTGATTTATATTTGGATGCTTGACAACTGGTTCATATTTATGATGAAAAGTTTAAATTTTACATTGAATTATAAATTAAAAGAAAACTTTTACAAGGTGATGTATCACTGTTATTTATCACCAGATAAGCTACCTAGGATGTATAAAGGTATTTCAAATGAATGCTGGAAATGTAAATGTAAAGAAGGCACTTTTTATCATTTACTGTGGACATTTGATAAAGCAAAGAAATATTGGAGAAGGGTTCACATTTTGATACAGAAAATCCTTAAAGTAAAAATAAACATGAAACTACAAACTTTTCTTTTGGGTTTAATGGAAAATGATTTGGACAACTGATTCATATTTATGATGGTCGCTGTGTCCCAGGGTCATGTGACCCATATTATGTGACCTTCTGACAAGCAAAGTCAATGGGGAAGCCAGATTTACTTAACAACCGTGATACTAATTTCACAACTGCAGTGATTCACTTAACAAATTTGGCAAGAAAAGTCATAAAATGGGACAAAACTCACTTACCAAAACATTTATTACAATATATCTTGAAATGTTTTTTTATTTGCCCCCTCCTCCCAAAAATTAAGGTTTTAAAATCAACTCTTTATGAGCCTTCATTCAATCCAAAAGTAACCTTACCACAAAACAGACTCAAGCATTTTTCTTCCATCTGTAGCCCTTTTCCTTCATCCAGTCTACTCCTTATCACATGGGCTGTTGAGGTGCCATCAACACTGGGTCCATATGTTTATTTCTTGAGTGACAGCAATGTTTTATAGTTCACTTTAAAAAGTGTGATCTCTTTCCCAAGAATAACAAAAGCTGTACTTCGTTTATTCTGGGATGTGAGGACATAATCATTTATATGTTAGGAGCAGCAAAGCTTAGCAATAAAAATATAGCAAAAAGGTAAAGAATCTTTGCTAATGCATCTAATGAAAAGGCCATCAAAAATGTTTATTATATTCATATGTGCAAAAGAAAAAGATGGACTGAAAAATGCAAAGGGTCTGTGTTTTGATAAAGCCATGCCTCAGCTTGGGCAAGCTAGCAATGTCTGGAAGATGTTCCTGATTTTGTTGACAAAAATGTTCTCCAGACCATCTTGCTATTTGGTTTCAGTTGTTTTGGAATCTGGAAATTGTCTCTTCAAAAATGATCATTGTGGAACTGATTAAAAAATCTTTCAAAATGTGTGGGAAACTTGATCGCTAAAGTTGAAATGTTAATGAAATAAATGCTCTGTGTATGACAAGAATGACTTTGATATTTCTGATCTTCCTTCTGGCCCTCATGTGTAGGATTCTGGAATTGACATTGGCGACATCTCAGAGAGGAAGGCCTTGAGGAAAAAGCTGCAGTGCAAGACCTTCCGGTGGTATCTTGTCAGTGTATATCCTGAGATGAGAATGTACTCTGACACTGTCGCCTATGGGGTGGTAAGAGACATTTTACATTTGCTTGAGCAGTCCTAGGGAGGAAATAGAGACGAGCGGTTTCCTGCAGGTGGACTGAGCATGTCCCACAGAGAAAAGCCTGAAGAAGAAAATGTGTCTGTTTATAATAGCAATAGCACTTAGACTTAAATACCACTCCACAGTGCTTTATAGCATTCTCTGGGCATATTATAATGTCAGTATACAATCTGGGTCCTCATTTTGCTGACCTTGAAAGGATGGAAGGCTGAGTCAATCTTGAGCCAGTCAAGCTTGAACTCCAGGCTGTGGGCAGAGTTAGCCTGCAATACTTCATTCTAACCACTGCACCACCAGGGCTCTGGTGTTGCAGTCACAACTGAGAGTGTTGTGGTTAATTAGCACTGGAAAATAGCGTTCATAAGGACATAAGTATTGTCCTGATGGATCAAATCCCTGACTCATCTACTCCAGCAGTCTTGTCTTACAATGGCTAACCAACTGCACAAGGAAACTCACTAGTCATTCAGCAAATAACCTTCAGAAGATTAGGAGCCATGACTTCCATGAGTTGGTCTACCTCTTTTTTGAAGCCAGTTATGTTGGTAGCCAGCACTAAATTTCATGGGAGCAAATTCTAAAATTTATATAAAAATATTTCATTTTGTCTGTCCTGATTCTCCCAAGATTCAGTTTCATTGGGTAACCTCTGATCTTAGTATTTTGGGAAGAGAAAAATAGCTTGTCTTTGCACACATTATCCACATCATGCATCTGTTTGCACACCTCAATCATGTCCCCTCTCATTTACATCCGTTCTAGATTAATAAACCCAAATATCGCATTTCTTCATAGAAAATTATTGTAGCCCCTTGGATCATCTTAGCTGTCCTCCTTTGAATCTCCTCTAGTGTTAATATATCTTTTTGAAGTGTGGCAACCAGAAATTCACACAATATTCCAGATGCTTTATCTCACACATATACATGTTATTCTTTGTGTGCAGTTCAATTATTGTTTGTGTGGTATGCCTTCAAGCCATTGATTATTTTTGTTAGCAGCCTGGACAAGTCCCTGTACTCTTCTTGGCAAGTTTTTGGAAATGATTGGACATTACATGCTTCCCATAGTTGATATGGTATGGTAGACTCAAGTTCACCCATGGGTTTTAGTCTTCTAGCCCAGTGCCTTCTCCATTATACCAAAGTGGCTCTCATTTAAAAGTTAAGCACACATTAAATGTTTTGAATATACTAATTAGATGTTGCAATATACTTGTAAATAGCCACCTATCTGGGCAAGTAAAAAATTTATCTAGGCTACCATTTGTATGACCAAAATAATAAAAATTCTTGGGTGAATTTATCTAATAATTTAATTAACCCACAAATGAATTCATTTTCATCCCTGAATTGCTTAAGGATATAAATGTTTGTTTGGATCATATATAACAATGAATATACAAGCTATTTGTAATGATATTTTATTTTCTGGGTAATTGAATCTATACCAGGCAAAGAATTGAATTAGATTATCTTCAAGATTCCTTCCAATCCTATGTTATTTGTACAATCTTTGTAATATAGATGTGCCATATCTTGGCTGCTGAAAACTGGATGATCACTAGCTTAAAGGAAAGTGATAGTTGTATGCTTCTCTTTGCTACTATACAATAACCGTTCATATATTTGGAATCCTAATATAGTTTAGACAGGTTTTGTGAACTTTGTATTTCTATACTGTTATATACAAAGCAATATTATTTTGCAGTACTGTGAAACAAGTTGGGTATTAAAAAATTGAATCCAAGGCACTGGGAAGATACATTGAACACAATTTACATTGTATCATCTGGCAATAATAATTATTTGATAGAGGGTTTTGTTTTTATTTTTTGGAAAATGCACATTAATGATCTGAAGTTTAGCCAAAAGTGAACAAAACTCTCATTTACTGAGCAAGTTTACTGTTGGAATCCTAATAAATTTTGAATTGAATTGAAATTCTTTGATCTTTAATGGAAATTATTATTATTATTTTTAATTCAAAGTTGGCTGTAAGGTCTTGAAGACCTGATTGTTTCCCCAGGTCTTGAATTGGGATGGATGGTGCTCCTTGTTGGATGTGATTTATCTGTGTTTTTGTATAGAGGGACCACAACCCACCTGGCTTTGCTTTGAATTGTGCTTTCCTAGTTTATTATACTGTAAGTTGTCCAGAGACAGTTCAGAGTCAGGTGGTGCCTAAATTTAATTAATTAAAAGGTATATTACAGACTATGCTGAAGTTTCACACTGTGCATTCCTACTTAATTTAAACAGATTAGTCTTTTCTTTCAATGATAGTTAAACATTTATTACAAAAATATAGTTGCAAACAGGTAGAATTCTTGTCCTGTTTTAACAAGTAATTTACATTCTTTTTTTTCTTTTGAGTCCTTACTCCTCTTCTCTATATTTCCTAGCTACAGAATTCCCTAAAAAGTGATCTGTGCCTTGATCAGGGACCAGACACAGAAAATATTCCAATCATGTACATCTGCCATGGAATGACACCACAGGTTAGTAAGATTAATCTTGCATCCTACTCTCACCCATATGTAGAAAGAACCACACTGTAACCAGCAATTATTTTTCTACTACAATACTTTCTAAAACTATTAATAATAAATGGAAATAATATTTGCTCCTGATGTTAAGTATTATGAATCTCTTAATTAGTGCTTTGTCAAAAAGTCACAATGAAAAATTAAGAATGCATAGAATTGTTGGCATAGACTTTTATTTTTCTTCCTAGAGAAAAAATAGAATCCAAAGTGTGAATACATCATTAACTATTTCATGGACATTTATTTCCTCTATATTTCTACATCTCACATATTAATGTCATTTACAACACACATGTGCACACAAACATATTCTTGAGTTTATAATAAAAGAGTAGAGAATTGTAGTTCTTTTGGCTTTTCAAGAAACAATCAGGCATGGAAATCCCATAGTTTAATTTTGGCCTTTGTTATAGAAGCATTACATAACATCATGTAATCATTTCAAATGTTGCTATGCGAGTTTTATTTTAGACCGATCTATTGTGATTTTCTAGAAGAGTTTGTTTTCTAGGTAATACAAGATGAACCAGGGATAAAGAGATCCAAAAACCATTAGAAACTAGAGTGCTGCACTTGTAATAAATAATATAACGTTTTGCCTCCCAGTTTAGTTCCTTTTGAGATGAGATAGGAAAACAGCCACCCAAAGGAGAACCTTTTCTGTGGATGATTTATTGAGTTGATTGGAATCTTAATAATCCTACACGGAATTCCTAGTGGCTTACATTCCCATATTAAACATGTATCACTGGATGGCATCTATTAGTTGTCTTCAGAGGTTTTACTTGTAGAATATCAAATAGTAACAGAAGTGAATTTGTATGACTCAATGCTATATAAAACTGTATTGTTAAATCAAATTAGTGGAACTGTGTAATCATGAATTGATAAATATTCATAGTGTCGTTAAGATTTTTTTCGAAGACCTTTATCACATTCTTTTTCTTTTTGAGCTTCTTATATGTTGCCAATACATTGTCAATAATGTGATCTGCATATTTTGTGAAGGGGATGCATAATATTTGACTAAAGAACCAACTTCTAACAGGAAAAGATTTATTTAGATTGAGAAATATTGGAAAGTTGATTGTCTTTGCTCAGTTTTTGTTTCTATATAACAGTGAAAAGATATTCAGCCTCCATTTTCACACTTAATAGAATTGGTTTTCCTGTATAAGATGTAGTTAATATTGATTGTACTAGTAAGGGTACACTAGAATAAATTATGAATGATGAAGAAAAATTTTCAAAGTCTGCTTAGACACTGCACAGGCGAAAGCTTTTCTCTCCTCCTCAACCTTATTTTTAATAACTATCATTTGCCAAGGGGAAAGTCCAACAAAATTCAGTCTTTTTCAAGTAACCAAGTCCTTCTTCTGTTATTCATAAGTTATTAAAAGTCTTTCTTCTTTACCTTCTGGGATTATTTTATAATATGTTTTGATGTATCCTTTATCTGCTATAGTAATGCTAAAGAGACTGTTGCAAATTCAGACTGAAAAAATGTAATTATATTATGGTGCACATAGAAGGTTTTATTATTGGCATTTTGGGGGGATTTGATTGACCTGTTTTGCAACTAAGTACAACATAAATCCTACATAAATGTTCTGTCAGTGTTGTAAGTTTTTCCAGAAATTGAGGTTTAGCATTATACTTTCATTAATTAGACTTGATGTAGACTAATGTCATCTGAACTAGATGAGTTTCTCCAAAATTGACTTTGATATATTTTGGCATTTGCAGAGAACTCCTAATTTTGTGTCTTTACTGGCCTATATATACCTTATATGCCGCCGTATTAAGCGACCCGGCATATAAGACGACCCCTGTCTTTATAGCCAGGCCGCATTCCTAGAACGTCATCTTATACGCCGGAAACTCCCAGTATTTCCGGCATATAAGACGACTCGGCGTATAAGACGACCCCCGTCTTTGGCGCCGATTTCAGCGCTCGCGGAAGTCGTCTTATACGCCGGCATTTACGGTACTTCTGTTCGCTGAATTTCCTTGTGGAGATGATATCAACATGAAGATATGTAGGAAAGATATTAATTTCTGAATATGTTTTCCAGTTTATCAAGTTTGAATACAGATGAGTAGATAGACCTGGACCGGTCTGCATCTCACATAACCTGTTATCATTTAATTCCAGCTTCTGAATAATTGACTGTTGCCCACCCATGTTCTGGAGGTTATACATTTGGCAAAAATGTTTCTGAACCAGAATGTATGTAGACATACCTATCATGGCTTCTCTCATGAACATGTGGTAAAACCTCTGCCATCGTTTTTTCAATTGCAACTGGCTATATCTATAGATAGCTTCTTTTATGCTGTTTTTATTGCCCAGAGGCCATGGTTAGAGATGGTTTCAACTATCTGATGTTACTGCCTTCATATTCCAGAATTAGAGGATGAACAAAACAACTATTGTTGAAGCTGGGAGACAATTTAATGTCCACCAGACAGATATGCATCATGCTTGCAGCTTCCAACATTTGTTTCAATATTTTCTATTGCTTTGTACTTTAAAAAAATCAAAGTGGTTTATATAATTAATAAATTTTAAAAATGAAACAGAAAAAAGTTATAAACCAGTATATATCCTACAATGAACACAATAAGGAAACATTAAAAATAAAAATAAATTAATAAGACATAGCAGCTGATAAGAAACTATAAGAATAGATAAAGAAGATAAAGGAAAAAAAGGGGATTATTAAAAGAAGATTTAGACTAGGCCAAGTTAAGATGGCCTATGCATTATTAGACCATCTTAATAAATGGCCTACTGCATCACAGATATTTATTCAATCTAGAAACTGCATTAATATAGATGAAGCACACATCAATATTTCAACAAGATGAATATCCTGAAACTGGGATGTGATCAGCAAGTCTTCCTTATGAAAACATATAGACACGGTAGGCTTATAAGAAAGCAGGTGGTTGCAAACTCTTTAAAGCTAGATGTGACCTCCTTAGGGTGATGTGTGTGTGTGTGTGTGTGTGTGTAAAAACTGTGATATCCTGGCACATTCTAGGGCATCTCTAGAGCAGCAGCCATTAACTTTTTGGGCACCAGGGACCGGTTCTATGGAGAGATGTTTTTCTGTGGACTGGAGGGAATGGGGTTTTCTGTGCTGCCTGCATCCCACAGATGTAGCTTCATTTGTTTACCCGGCCCAGTTTCTGGCATGCAGTGGACCGTTGCCAGTCCACAGACCGGGGATTAGGGACTCCTGCTCTAGAGTATGCTTGGAAATTGTATTTCATGCTAAAAGATTCCAGATACAAAGAAAAATACCAAATGCTCACAATATCAGAGAATCACTGGGATGCGAAATAGGAAACTTGCATATTCTGTTTTTGGAGTATTCAGGCCAGATGGAAGCTCCATTTGCAGCTGCATTGCTTATTTTACAAAATATATTTTATAAAGATCATCTTACTATATATTTGACCGATTTATTTGATATGTGGTTCTTATTTTGTTGCTGTTGTTTGCACGCAGTGTTCAACATTTAAATTACACAGAAGAGTATCATGTGAAACTATGCAGTCAATAAAAGTATTTTTCAAGATAGAGAGAGACACAGGTCCAAGACCAAGAATTTGGAAGAACATTTGAGAGAAGAATATTTTGCATAGTTGATGTGTCTGTACACTGTCAGCCAAATTTTAAAGCATCTGTTAGTTCAGACATGTCAAACAGAAGGCCCGGGGGCCAGATGCGGCCCACGAAGTGGTTTCATGTGGCCCACGAAGCCATCCTGGAAACAGCCCAGGCCAGCTGGGAGCCAATGTACAATTTTGTGGTGGCCATCTTGGCACTTGCCCCAGTGGACCATGCCTTGGCACTTGCCCCAGTCCCACCCCCTTCTTCCAGAGACCCTCAGATCTGTCCCACTCCTGCCCAAGCCCCCATAGGCACCCTTGATGCGAATGATGTAGAACTGACCACGCCCACCCAGTAGGGCACACCCACTCCATCCACACCCACCCATTAGGCTGCACCTACTTTGGCCACACCCACCCAGCCCTCCTGATGCGGCCCTCAGTGAAATTGAGTTTGACACCCCTGTGTTAATTACTTGATCCATTAAATGTCAAGTAGTAGCTAGAATGTTATTATGAATTTGGGTATAATTCAGAAGTAGGATTCAAATATGTGAACAACCGGTTCTCTGTGTGGATGCCGCTTCCAGAAGTCCATTCTGGGCCTGGGCAACAAAAAATTAGCTACTGGTTCTGCCGAACTGGTGCAAACTGGCTGAATCCCACCACTGGTATAATTCTGCCATTAATTTGGGTTTTATAGAAACAAGTGTCTGAAAAGAAAGACCATTAAATGTTGCTTCCCTGCATCATGTTCTTTTCAAAAGTAATTAGCTCTGGTTTCATTAGAAAGTAAGATACTTTAATTCTATCATTATGTTTTCTCTTCTTTGCCTATCAAGGACATTTTTTAAAAAAGTATTTACAGAAATAACATTACGGGATCAAGTTAATGGAAGTTAATGGAATGAAAAGTTGCTTTTTTCCCCTGTGGAAATGACCTGCAGTTAATGATCCGAACCGTTTTGCTATAAACTCTGACACTGTTATCAATAGAACTGTAGTTATTTCCTATTAAGAATACGTTGCTCCCTTTGTGAAATACAATTGCAAATTCAAATATTAAAACGTATGCATTGCTACTGTTCTATCCCCATTACTTTCCACTTCTATACAATCATACTTCCCAAAGTGTTTGCAACAGCACTACAGTTGTCTAACTAGCCTTTGACATGACCCTGAATCAAATTTGTTTTTCTGAATGATTCTGTTTTCCTTCCATTCCATCTAGCATTCAGTACCATTGATCTAATGGTAGGAAGCTTTCCCCCCTCCCTCTATTCAAGCACAGCAGTGGCTGCCTTTTCCCCATCAAAGGCAGCTAGGCTTTG